ATGACATGAAAACTTGATATGCATCTAAAGTCTATTATATGGCTTATATAACTTAACAATCCCTGAAGGATTTAAATTGCTTAAAGCATATAGAATTCATGGTCATGAAGTACTACATCCTCAATGCAATTTGTGCACAAATGTATCTTGCTATAACTATATGCATGATAATATGATAGCAAGAGTTTTCACCTCTATGTGAAGATATTGAACTGACGATTCCAACAAGATCATATGAAGACAATCCATCGCTATCAAGAATGATGATGTCAAGGTGCAATATATTCATTCAAGTTAATATGGCTGATTTGTTTATCAAATATCTACCAAAGATCTTTTGAAGATGGTGCACAAAATTGGAATGCAAATGCTTAAGGATGTGAAGTGATGCTCTCATGAAGGGGATTTAATACGCGTTGTATTCTTTTTCCCTTACAAGGTTTTGTCCCACTGGGTTTTCCTTGCAAGGTTTTTAACGAGGCAACCGAAAGGCGTATTATTAGATATGTGTACTCTTTTTCCTTCTCTAGAATTTTTTTCCCACTGGGTTTTATTTTAGTTAAGGTTTTAACGTGGCACATTATCTGTTGAATAGACATTCAAAGGGGAGTGTTATAAATAGAATTTTATTTATGGTAAATGTCTATATTTAGAGAGATTCTAGAATTTATTACTTGGTAGCTAAGTCACCCTCTCTCTATAAATAGAATATTCTATTCCATTGTAATTCATTCCAAATTCAATAAGAATTCTCTCTCCCTACTTTTCTTTGCTATATTATTTCTTCTTTTATTATTTCATAACAATAATTAAAATATCTGCCATTTTTATCAACTTTAAATGTATATTTATGTATCTAATAAAAAGAGAATATGACAACTACCTAATTTTATTTATTTTTGAAACGAATCAACAAGTACTACCAAACAAATTTTCTACACTCGGCCAGATGCTTCAATGGTGCTTAATGCTTATAAATAATTAGCTAATCCCGAACCCCCTGATCAGGTAAGATTAGGTGGGTTGACTCTTAAAAGTCAACCATGTTCTTAAAATTAATGCTATTTATAAAATGCTTTTAAAATTATAATAATATTCTTAGTTACGCAAAAAAACCCTTTGTCTTTCTTCTTAGTTAATTAATCAATTTTCAAATTTTCAAATCGGTAAATATGTTTTTTGTTTAATTAGTCAATATATTCTTTGATTAAATATGTATTTGTGATCCCTTTAAAAATGGATTGACCTTCTCATTTTGATTCCTTGGGCCAACACTTGTTTGTACGGAGGCTATAATCGTTACACCCTCCGGTCGGTCCAAAATAAGTGATTTTTTGGATGTTTTCACACAGATTAAGAAATCCATCTTTTAGCATTAATTAACAATGAAATTGACCATATTAACCTTTTACTATCTCACATAAACACTCCTAACACATACTCCAACACTATCTACTCCAAGGACAATGTAGGAAAAAATAATTAATTCATTCTTGAAATCTGGAAAAATCACTTATTTTGAACTACAAAAAAAGGCCAAAAAATTACTTATTTTGAACCGGGGGAGTATATGTGTAATTGATGTCAGATATATTTATTGCTTGTATTGTTAAAACCAAAGGGTGTTTATATCGAACAAAATCAATGTGAAAAAAGCAAGTGTGGAGGATTGTCTCCTTACCTATAATCTCTCTCTATCTTTTAAAAAGAAATATCTTTTCGTCCGTGAGTCATTGATAAATATTTTTTTTATAATCGTAATGTCTGAACCAGTTTTTGCATAACTTTATATGTTGAAGATTAAATAGATGGTGAGAAAGAACACACTAATATGATCATATGATTCTGTAATTATAAATCCATCAAAATTTTAAAGTCTGTTAGAGGGGTCATAAAAACATAATTATGTTTCAATTGAAGGTTACACAGGTTTAGTCAAGCATTATAAGATCAAAACTTAGAATTCTATGTTAAGAGATCAAGTTAATATTAGTTATCTACATAACAAATTTTCTGGGAAAAGCCTGTAGAATAATAAGAAAGGGCAAAGTTTTTTGGTGGAATGAAAATTTTTTATTCCTCTCCCAACCAGTACATCAATAAGAATACAAGGAGAGCTCTTTAGAGCAGCTATCTATACTTCTATCTATTTAATGAAACTGTACAATCCATCCTAGCTATCTATATATTCCTTCTATCCAGTCCCTGTCTTTCCCTTTTATTTTCTTGTTTAATATCTCTATCATTCTAATCTTACATTCATCCTTGATTTGATTACGCACTGTTTGTGGTCTTGGCACTGAATTCTTTCATACAGCTTCATTCCTACCTTTCCATACATAGTAGTTGGTTGCTGCTATGACTGCATATGCAAACTCTCTGCTTATTTTTTTCACCATCTTTCTTGCCACTCTTCTCCATAATAGTTGTCCCTCCATGTTTGTAACTCTGATTTGTAGCCATTCCAATATTATGCCAAGACATCTACTTGAGAATTGGCATGCATAGAACAGGTGTTCTATAGTTTCCTGTTTATCTCCACATAGTGCACATAGACCATCTGCACTCATCCCCTGCTCTCCAGCCTATCTATTGTGAGCAGCTTCTTCTGCATAGTCAACCAGCAGATGAAGCTGTGTTTTGGCATATTCTGTTTACTCCATACCCATGGTCCCCATTGACATTTATCTTGAGACCCTTTCAGCTATTCATATCCCTGTTGTATTGTATATTTTCCTATTCTGGATTGCCACCTCTTGTTTACATACCCTGCTGCCAATTTGTCTCTAACATTGCATATTTTCTTCCAATACCAGCTACTGTCATTTGCTGGTTTATACTGCCACCAGTCTGCATCTTTGAGATAGATATGGTTTATCCACTTGACCCATAATGAGTCAGTTTTTTGAGTGATATCCCATACATATTTCCCTATTGCAGCCTCATTCCATGTTACACAGTCCTTTATGCCAAGTCCTCCTTCTTGCTTTGGTCTACACACCAGGTCCCATGCTACTAGGGGGATTCTATTTGTTTCTACTTTGCCATCCCACAAGTAATTCCTGCACATTGCTGTAATACTCTTTAGTACTGCTTTGGGTAGTATGAAGATTGAAGCCCAGTATGTATGAATGTGCATCAAGACTGCATTTATCATTTGCACTCGACCTGCATAGGATAGATTCCTGGTACCCCAGCTGTTTATTCTGGCAGCCATCTTGTCCACTAGCACCTGACAATCCATTTTTGAAATCTTCTTTGATGAAATTGGGACACTTAGGTATTTGAATGGTAGTCTGCCCCTGCTATAACATGTTATTTCACTTAAGTCCCCCACTTCTTTAGCTGTCATGTTCACTTCAAATATGTTTGACTTCCCTGCATTTGTAGCTAGCCCAGAAGAGTTGGAGAATGTTTGTAGTCCCCTTAATAATAGCATCACCGATTGGATCTCTCCTTTGCAAAAGAGAAGAACATCATCCGCAAAGCATAGATGATTCAGCTGCAGGCTTCTACACTTGGTGTGAAATTTAAATCCCTCCATCTGTGTTACATGCTTCATTATCCTTGAAAAATACTCCATACAAATAACAAAGATCATAGGAGATATTGGATCTCCTTGTCTTAGTCCCCTCTTCCCTTTTATATTTCCATATTGTCCTCCATTAATTGCTACTGTATATTGTGGTGTTGATATGCATTCCCTGAACTAAAGAAGATTAATGTCAAATTATTTCTAGTTTTCCTTGACCTTTTTCTTTCATATCTTCCATGCCGATATTTTGAAAGTGCGCTCATTATATTAGTAATTATTTTCAGTTACATTTATAGAATCAAGAATGATACATTATAGTATATTATGTTGTTTCTGTCGAACAACCTCTTCACTTCTTAATTTGCTCTTATCTACTAGTATTTGTGTACATACTTTCTTTAATTTGTCTTTTTTGTTACCCTCGCTTTCTCTGCTCATAGATAAGAATATATAAGAATATATATATATATATATATATATATATATTCAAAAACTCGTGCAATAAGCTAAATAAGGTCATTGTGAAAACTTTTGCGCCACAAAACTCAAAGGTAAAAGGTAAATCATTGAGATTGAGTAAAAGGTGATTATGTCCATCAACTTTTTTAATCTTCTTACTCCAAGTTGTGATTTTATGTTGTGTACTTTTCAAACTTATAGGTAGCAAAGTTAATACGTGCTATTACTACTTGCCCAGTATCAATATTTAGACCGTAAATCTCTAGTAAATTTAATGAAACAAATTTGAATTTGGACTGACATTCAAATGATTTATTTTAATCTAATGAAACAAATTTGAATTTGGAGTGACATTCAACTGATTTTAATTTCTTAATTCGGTTTATATATTTAATAATATATCAACATAATTTGTCTGATTTAATTTTAAGTAAAAATATAGTCAAAACTCAAATAAAACGTTCTAATTATCTCCTCGAAAATAACCGCATGAAAAAATGTCAATAATGTCAATTTCTAGTACTTGAGTGGGAGGTAAAAAAATATTGCGCTTTCTTTCCATCTATTTAAGTTTTGATAAATAGAATTACTATTAAGTCTTAATATTTGTGCTGACGGGGGTATCAAATACCTGATAAAATAGTATGTTCGCGTAAACTATGCGGACGGGGGGCAGACCTATGACTTAGGTTGAAGGGTTACCGGACCTCGTAAATTTCGGCAAAAATCTTGTATATGTATATGTCTATACCATAAAAATGGTTAATTTAAATCAATTCGTACTTTTAACGCTAAAAATCTTTAGGGGCCACTGATTGAATTGAATATTGTGCCTCTGTTACATTAAATTTCTAGGTCTGCCTTTGTACGCGGACACCACCGTTGAAAAAATGTCAATGGCAATAATGAATAAGAAGGAGGACTATAATGTCAATTCAAGAAGCAAGACTGAGTGAGATGGTAGTACAAGGAAGCTCAAAAGCGGTTTCTTTAGACCCTAAGTGAGATATAGTTTCTGCAATTTATTTTTGTAGTTTCGCCGAGTGGAATTTATTTAAAAGAAAAAAGAAACAAGTGTTGAACCTTTTTTTTCTTCTTCTTCTTCTTCTCTAGTGCTTAAAATAGCTTTGTCTTTTGCTTCATTTCCTTATCCTCAAAGATCAAAACCTCAAACGTTACACCGACTCGAGCTATATATGCCTCTCTTTAGTTATATTTTTATATGAATCAATTATGGTGATTGTTGAAGTCCAAGAATAGCTCTATAAATGGGATTTCAAGGATCTTATTCAACAGAAGAAGAAAATAAGCTTTTTATTGGAGTTCATTTCATGGCTTCCTCTAACAAAAACAATGACGACCTTTTACTAAATAATAATAATAGTCAAATTTCTTTTGGTAGCCAACAACAGTTTTTTCATAGTCCTCAGCAGCAACATGATCAGCACCAACTTCAAAATAATAGTAATCAGATTTCTTTTGGTCTGTTACAGCAGCAGTCATCTTCTTCATCAAATCCTGGAAATTTCATGTAACAAAAAAAAAAACCCATCTTTTCATTTCTTTATTTTTTGTTTTTGTTTTGTGTAATTCAAAATCTTTTTTTGTTATGAGCAGAAACAAAGATAATAGTGGAGCTTATGATTTGGGAGAACTAGATCAAGCACTTTTTCTTTATCTTGATGGACAAGAGCCTTCTTCAATCCAAGATCAAAGACGTGAGCTTTCTTTATTTTTTCTACTATATTATTATCCAAATTTATTTTTCTCTGATTAATAGTAAATGACTTAGCTTTTTTTCTTTTCTATTTAATTTTAGGTTTGTTCTGTTGAGATTCTCTCTAGGGAATCAGTTGCTTTTAGTCATGAGAAAAGCATGTTTCGCAAATTAAAATCTGATATATAGTACTTACTTTGACCAGATCCTCTTACAAATTTTTTTTTTGTTTTCAACAAATAAAGATTTTTACCCTTACTGTACGAATGAAAAGATTTTGTGTTTCCTCTTTTTTTCGCAAGCTTTTACTGTGTTCCATTTGTCCTTTTTATTTTCTTCTGTAGATCTGTATGTTTACAATAAGCTCAAAAATGCATGACATGTCAGAAAGACAAAAGGATCTCTTTTTTAGACATATATACAAATTAAAGGACTTCATTTCTTTATCTGTGAAATTATTTGCAGAAAATTCTGGGATGAGGCCACCAACTCTCAACATTTTTCCATCACAACCAATGCATATCGAGCCTTCCTCAACTAAGGTATATTGAGAATTAAGAGTTTAAGTTCCCTACACTCACGTGTTACACTATTAGGTTAATTAGTTGGCTTACACCAATAGGTAATTAACTTTTCATGTGATAATTTTTCTATATGAACTTATAATCAGGCCATTTATTAGATAATTATAGAAGTAAATCTCTTGATAAACATTAATTTGTAATTTAATAAATATGGTAATTGACCTACCATCAAATGTTAAAATTCACTATAATCCAAAAGAATCTTTACATCATTAGTGTATATTAATTTAAATCCACTTTTCATAATAAAGTTTACACTGATAATGTAAAAAATATTTACAATATCAAGTATTATCCAATAAAAATAAGGATAACATATATATATATGTATAGTTAGAAATTAAGACCGTTAAAATGTTTCATTTTCTTGATGTTAACTACTTGGGTTTTGAATTAACCTAAAACGGACTTTGTCATCTATTTGTTTGGTAGGCAAATAATGGATTAGTTTCTCAAGCAACAAGTGGTTCCAAGAAATCATCTCAGCCGTCCATGGCTAAAACTGATGTTGTTCCTTCTGCTTCTGGACCTGAACCACCCAAAACTGCTAAGGTATCATTTCTCATTTTCCAAAACCTACTTTTATAAGTAAGGTTTTATATCACTTTCACCTTGATAATTTATGTCTAATTTTCTTTTTCCTTAATATTGTTTTTACCTAAAAATCCTTTCTGGTTTCAAATGTGGTCTCAGCGAGAGGGAATTCGGAAGGGTCCAACTTCAAGTTCAGAGCAAGATGCACCCAAAACACCAGACCCCAAGGTACGTGGGATTTAATTTCTGATCATATTATATTATTATCAATGTAATTTAATTACTTACGGCCAAGGTAATCTGTTTTATTTTTCATGTTACTAGTCCCACTTTATTTCATACTATAAATTATCTTAATAATAATGTGAATTTACTCTTTTTGTTGCAGACATTAAGGAGACTTGCTCAGAATAGAGAGGCAGCTAGGAAAAGCAGACTTAGGAAAAAGGTACTCATTATCATTCTTTTACTTGTAGTTATTAGTGTTATTAATGTTGAAACAATGACATCATGCTTGAAAATTATTTTATGGTAACTTTGTTTTCATTCTAACTGTTCCGTTACAGGCTTATGTTCAACAGCTAGAGTCAAGTAGAATAAGACTCGCACAATTAGAGCAAGAAATACAAAGGGCCAGATCTCAAGTAATTACATTTCTCTTCCCAGCTCAACTAATTCTTAAGATTTTACTAAATAAGTAATCTTCAGTAATTTATAATGTCTGAAGAAAAAAAATTATTGCATTGTCAAGGGATTTTATGTTGGGGGAAATGCTCCTCAAGCAGGAGAACAAGGCCTTGCAGTTAATATGGCCAATATCAGCTCAGGTACTAATCCTATTTCAGATCACTTTGTATATTGGAGTTTGGCTTTTATACACTAATCCTGTACAAGAATTATACGTTATCTTATCTGATTATTTAAAAAATAATTGCATGTAACGGCTCATAATAAGTAGCATTAATTAGTTACCTATAAAATAAGAAAAATAAGCGTTCTGTTATATTTTATATGATCCTATTTGATTGGCACAAAAGTTCAAGAATAAAAATATAAAGAACTTTGAAACTTGTAGTATTAAACAAGTCATAATATTTGTATGGTTGACTATAAAACTTTAAAACTTATAATCTTAAAATATACCACTACTTATAACATTTGAGTAGCTGTAACAACTTCTACACAGTGTAAACCATAAATTATTTTCAAATTTAGAAAGGAGTCATTCTTTCTTGAAACAAAACCAAAAAGACAAAAGAGTCACATACATAAACTATGGAAGTAGCTTATGTATAAAATTTTCATTTCAGTATCATTATACATAAGTTAGAGTAAATTTTTTTGCATGAATATAGATGCTGCAATTTTCGAGTTGGAGTACGCAAGATGGCTGGAGGAACACCATCGTCTATTGTGCGAGCTTAGGAATGCAATACAGGAGCATTTGCAGGAGAACGAACTTCGTATCTACGTCGAAAATTGTGTAACACATTATGACGAGATTATGAACCTCAAATGCATGCTTTCAAAATCTGATGTCTTTCATCTCGTTTCTGGCTTATGGAAGACTCCAGCTGAACGTTGTTTCTTGTGGATGGGAGATTTCCGGCCATCCGAGCTTCTCAAAGTACGTATGCAGACCTCTAAATTAACTTATTAAAATTCACTGATTATAAAAAAATATATATATACATAGAAAATCATACTTTTGGTAAAAAGTTTAAGTAATATACATTGTCAGTATACAAAATTATAGCAAAGTGTATCGGTACATCACCATCTGATTATTATAGAATCATGCATGCAAACCCTAGTTTGCGTTATATGTGTGTGTATGTGTTTCCTTTTAATTTTCTGTTTTTCCCTTGTCAAGTCTGGTTTTGAGCTAGTGAACATGTGATTAATTATGTATCCAGTTTGTTTGGAGAAGGAATAGAAAATGGTGAATTAGGAGTAAGAACGTGGAGGGACATATATCATGAGATACCTCACCAGAAATACAACAATTTAATTTATTCAATGATGTAATAACCTGTGGGTGCACTTGTGCGAACATCTCATGATGTTCTGTGACTTTTGTGTAATATTATGAGAGAGATCTCAAAAACTTTCCCTTATAGAATCCTGTTAGGTATTATTCCCTACTCAACTATAAAGCCATGTATGTCTCTTACTATCTTTACTCGTTCTTAATTTCTTTCATGTTTCTTCCTCATATAGGTATATTCTTTATTACATATAAATTTTATTTTCCTACAAATAAGTTTCACGTTTGAAGTTTCGTATAAAGAGTTACTCAATAGTTGTGTCGGCGAGAAATAGCAAATACCTAAACAAGGCTATTGTCTAAAAAAAAGTAGTCAAGTTTATTTGGGAAGAGCTATTTGGCATTTTTTCTTTGGGAGGGGGTGGGTGGGGAATTTTTCTTGGGGGGAGGGGGGGGTAGGGGAGAGGGGGAGGGGTTATTGATGTTCTTTGCACGGCTATCCAATGACGTATGCTGTCCTTTATCTCTCTTTCATTGACGCAAAGAATCAGTCATGCTTTCTTCTAGATGTATTAACTTTAGTTGGTACTCCTAAAAGAAACAAAATGACTCTCGTACTTTATATTTTATCTCAACTACCTCACTATTTGTTTTTGTTAATTACAGTCATTTTGATATCGTTATGGAGGTTTTTATTTGGATTAGCTAATTAATCTTGTTTTTGTACTTTATGAGTCAAAGCAATTTAACTTGTTATAGCAAGTTGCTTATTTTTGTTTTTCAGATAACCAGTTTCACTTTAAAGGACGTACAACTAATTTGGTTTTGGTGTTTTTATAAACAAATGTTAATTTGAGCAGATTATACTTAGTCAGATTGAGCCATTAACAGAAAACCAACTAATGGGAATATGTGGATTACAACAATCAACACAAGAAGCTGAGGATGCTCTCTCACAAGGATTGGAATCTCTAAATCAGTCTCTATCAGACACAATTGCCTCTGATGCATTGGCTTGCCCACAGAATATGGCCAATTATATGGGCCAAATGGCTCTTGCCATGAACAAACTCTCTACTGTTGAAGGCTTCCTTAGACAGGTATATTAATTCTAATTTTTTAATTATGAATTTGATATCCAATGTGAATTTGAATTAATCGACCAGTTATTTTTAAAATATCGGATGCCTAAAGGAAAGATAAAGAAACATACTCCTAACAAACTTGTACAAATGATACTAACAAACAACTGTGTGTGTGTGTGTGTTGGGGGAGCTGAAGAATATCTCTATCATAAATAATTATAGGCCCATATTTTTATGATGTCATAAGTCATAGACAATTCAGAGTTTCAGACCATACACCATAACTCCTAAGTTGCCTTGACAGAATGAGAGAGAAAGAAATCCACACATTTCTGATTTCTTGTATTATTACATCAATTATATCCTCAATATAGAAACTTTGGGACTTACCACCATATCATACTCTTAAAGATCACTTGATGGCTACTTTTCCCTATTTTTTCTGATTTGTTTTTATTTAATTTTGTGATAAATTGTCTTTCGCATTTAAATCAAGGTAATGGAACTTGACTTTGAAGTATTATAGGAGTAGTAATTATGTATCAAATGAGAAAGGAAAATAGAAATTAACTTAAATAATCGCCCACCTGAAAAATAGTCATGTATACTATATGTATACTTCGTGTATAATATATGTTTATTGGCTAGCCGTTGTAATTATTTTCTCTTACAGGCCGACAATCTGAGGCACCAAATGATTCATCGGCTGCATCAACTCTTGACTACTCGTCAAGCCGCGAGGTGTTTTCTGGCAATCGGCGAGTATTTTCATCGGCTTCGAGCTCTCAGCTCTCTCTGGCTGGCTCGCCCTCGACAAGAATAGGAGAAACTCTTAATTAGCGACTTAACCTTCTATAATCTTTCTTGACTTAAATTTTCCCAAATATTTCTGTTTTTTTTTTTTTTTAAACTTTTTTCTGTTCCACTTCCAGGACCAATCCTTTTGATAGTGTTGTGTATATAGATAAAAAGGAGTTACAGTAAAATGATAAAAAGTACTGCTATTAGTTAGTCTCTTTCTTCTTTTGATCTTGTTTTCTTCACTAATTTTAATTAATTTAGGTAATCATCAAGAGAATTGACCATGTCTGAGAATTTGGGTAGTAGTGGAAAGGAAAGGAGATGGTGAATTTGAAAATTCACCATTTATCCAAAACAAATGCAAAAATAGAACAAGAAAATTCTTTTTGTAGCTAATAATTGAGATACATTGATATGGTATTGGAGTTAAAGTTTAGTTGTTACAAGTAAACTTTACACCACTTACATACAGGGTTCTAATTCTAATTATTAAGTACAATCCCTTTATAAACAAAGATAATGAAAAATAAATATAGCCCATGTTATTTGACTCTATAAACTATGTTCAATCTGAGAGAAATGGTAATTATTAGTAAAACAAAATTAAAGTCAAAGTTCTTGTATGGGCAAGTTGTTTTAGTGTAGGGAGATTCATGCATCCATTTGGATGACAATTCATGAAAATTAGTTTTATCCCATTTCCATTTTGGAAAGATTAAGTTGTGTTGTCCTTTTCAAGATCACCTGGTTTTTCCCAATAGTCGTGGACTCATGGTAGAGAGTAAAGACTATTGATTCCATCTAGAAGAGATTAGGTGATCTAGATTTCTAAGCATATGACATCCTAATACAAAGTCAAACAATAAAATTATATATATTCCAAATGATGAGAGAAGAAGGTAAAGAGTCAGATGATAGTACTCACTCCGTCTCATATTAACAGTCGTGGTTATTAAAAATAGTTATCTCAAATTATTTGTCGTTTTAGAAGTTCAAGACAAAACTGATTATTTTTTTCCTTTTTTACCCTTAGTAATAATTGTTCTTGAAGATGGAGATAACACATAAATAGAATAAATATTCAATTAAGAGAGATATATCTTATGACATAAATAAGGGTAGAATTCCAATCCTTTTTCTAATTAATATTTCTTAAGGGGCGTGTAATAGAAAAATACAACCCTAGACGGAGGGAGTAGATATGTAGCTAGGCACTTATTGATAAAGTAAAAAATGTGAATGAAAAAGATGTTAGGATGTAGTTGGTAGATGGTACAAAAATTCAAAGGTGCTACTTTAATTTCCCACTTCTTCAATTGCAACAAAAAGATGAGGAAAAGAAAACGATCAGAGCTAGAGAAAAGATGAGTATTCAGACAAAAATACTTAGAGTTACACAGTATATATAGGTATACAATTGGAAAGGAAATAATATGAAACGGAAAAATAATACTATTAAGATGTAGTTGGTAAAATTTCTGTATTTATTTGTCAGAAATAATAGTTCGGAAAACTATAGGTATAACCATTTCCATGCTAAAGTTAGAACTGATTGTTTAATATTGAAGGAACCAACACAGAATTGGCCTCCTACTACCTATACAATATCTAAGAGGGGTATTTTCTTTCTCTTTTTTCTTTTTCACCTGGTGTCCCGCATCCACATTGGGTCCTGACTAATTCAGAATCGCACCACTAAGGACTCTAACACTCCCTACCAAAATCTTTTTCCTCTAACAATGACAGGGAAATCTCACTGTCGCATATGGGTTCGTTGAAAAGGGAGTGGATACCGACTAGAGCTGTGAGTTTGCGACCAAGCACCACAGTCAATTCCTCTCTAGTACCACCTCCATTCACACAAATGAAACAAATACGATATAAGTATGGTGGAATTAAGCTTGTCTCAGGATTTCAATACTGAACAACTATTTAATCACTAAATACTGGCAATGGCACATTAAATTGGACGTAGAAAATGAGAAAATCATGAATACAATACAACTGCTCCAAGGTCCTCAAATAATCAATGCATGCAAACAGATTGTGAGATAAGTGGCCAATGGGGCCTTCAAATGTGCAGCATCAAACTGACACCTTAAGATGCACAGAACAAAGGTTTAAGTCAAATTAAGATATAGGATCCTGTCCAGCATTATTTTAGTCGTTATCCAGTCAATTTATTAATGTTTGTTCCAGCAGATGGTAGTATTATTGTGTTAATTATGATCCTATTTGTGGGGGGTATAAAAGAAGTGCACAGAAAACAGAACTGCATCAGCTTATTAAAACACTAAACAGAACTCATGTATGATTCCAATGTTAGCCATTATGTACATATTCAAACGCATATCTCCAGCTAATGATGAAATACAAATGCGTGAAAATCAATTCCACAAGGTACAGTTTTAACTCCAGTTACTAATAAGGATCAGAAAGATATCAGCGATATCCTGATTCAACTAATAGCTTGATCATCAGAAGATGATCGTCTTTACCTGGCCGGTCAGCTGCACTTTCTCCTTTCCTCCAAAATTTCAAAGCCTGTTTGCCTCAACCTTGATTGAGTTGGACATCAGATGGAAAATCAGCGCATGGACATTAAAGTTTTCACTCTTTTTTCCCTCTCTTCTTTCCTAGCACTAGGAGCCCTCTTCATTTTATGCAGTTCGTCCATCACAGCTTTCTCAGCAGTGTCAATTGAGTTCAGCAACTTTCTTTGTGGTGTGAGGCAATCAGTGTCTTCAGAACTTTTTTGATTGGTGATATCAAGCAATATCTTTGGCACTTTACCAACAGATTTGGGATGATACCTGCTTCTGACTTTTGGACGTGGAGTAATCATAGGATTCTTGTGCTCAAGTTGAGCACCTGATGTAGATTCAGAAGGATCAAGATCAGTATGTTCCTGGGGTAGAAGCCTCTCAAGTTGTTCGCTTTCACTTTCTCTCAAGCGAGCTCTTGTTCTTTCAATAGCCTATGGAGGAATCCAATTACAATCAGGCTCATCCAATTGACATGATGCCAAGGATTTCTTTCATTAGAACTATATAACTAAAATTTAATTTGTGGACATTCAGCTATGTTGGGATGTAACAAAACATTGAAGTCCAGTCTAATAGTTTCTAGCATATAAAAACACTGGGAGAGCTCATAGAGCTGAGCTCGAGTTGAGCTCATAGCACTTGTGCAGTACAACTAGATGCTACCATATATCAAGATTTTTAAGACTCTTAACTGGAATAATAACATTAGGCCACAAGCATTTAAAAGCTTTCTTAAGAGGAGCAATGAATTTATCCGGTCTCTTTCTATTTTCTAATTGCAAAGTTATCATAGGAAATTTGAATTGAAAGCATTAGGCAGCTAAAGACATTGATCTTATTTCGTCTCTTTAAGTTGGGTAGCTGACCAGTTGAGTTAGTAAAAGATGCTGGGCCTGTATAATTCATAGATAACTGAAAAGGAACAAAAAAGAGACAAAATTTTTTAGGAGGCAATTGATAAATTTTGTATAAGTTCTTATAGCTAAGGTTTGCTTAATCTCTATACAAGAATATACTCACTTTATGTATAAAATGTGCCTTATTTCATGGTATCAGATTAGCCTCGGTCCCTATCTTCATTCTTCCTCTATCCTATTCCATCACAGCTTAAATGTTTGATTCGTTCTCCCTTCCTTACCCTCACATTTCAGTACCTCTCTATGGCATAAAAATCCTGATTTTACTGTTCTTTGATTAAGCCAACTACTTTCTTCGTTCCAGTTTATGTGAACCTATTTCCTTTTTGGTCCATTCCAAAAAGAATGACCCCTTTCTAAATTTGGAAACAATTTAGCTCAAACTTCCAATTCTACCCTTAATGAGAAGCTTTTACAACCACACAAATACTCTGGGCCCCATTTTGACTTGTTTAGGACCACAAATTCCAAAAGTATACATTTTTTCTTTAACTTCGTGTCCAGTCAAACATGTTCACATAAACTGAAACAGAGAAAGTATATGTTATGGAGGACATATTCTTTGTCTGTGTTGAAGGTCATAGGGTTTATTGTTTTATTGATGGAATCTATGTTTGTCTTGCATCCACCACTCTCAATGATAATGAACCTCTGTTCTTAATCCATCATTTCCCTTATGGATTCCCACTTGACCATGTTCAGAGTGATTTATCAACAGGTCCCTGGGCTATATATACCAATCATACTCGTACCTCTCTCATAAACATATTTATGTAGAAGGTAAAAGGATATCTTAAATGTTTGCACATAATATAACTTTTTATATAGCTCATGTACTTGTTCACAATGATCAGTGAAATAAATTCTTTTAGGAATGTTTAGCCCTAATTCAACTTGGTTACAGAACACTATTCATGTCAGTAATATAGAGCGAAATGGAAGCATAACTTCCATTGACAATCGCAAACCTACTATAGTGACAGATTTTTACCAGACATACTGAACAAGTGAAACAAGTAAAACTTCCTATATTAAGCATAGACATCACAAAGGCTATTGCAAACAAGTTGCGAAAAGCTTTAACTGGAAACAGACTTGCCCCACTAAAATTAGATCTCACAAAACAGACAAACAAACAAACTAGAAATTAGGTATGAATTGCAAATCAAGATTCTGCTCAACAAACTGAAAAAACATTATAGAGTGAACTAAGCAGTTACCCTGACAATAGAAGTGATGTCACGGAGAGGAGTTCTTGGATACCAAGAAGGAAGTACACTGCGACGCCCGCGCCATCGTCCCCGGCCTCCCGGCGAAATGTTCTGACTACCAATCGCCCTGGCAGGAGTTCTACGCAAATTTCGCCCACGACCGCCGCCGGACGTTCTTACCGTCGTCGGTGTAGTCCGTAGGGGAACTACGGCAGTGCTCGCTTCTGATTCATCCTCAAAGATCTCAATGCCGCCTCTGCCAATTGACCTCCGTCGACGACTGTAGACGTATATTGGATCTTCCAGCCTAGTTAATCTGTCTCTGCCCTCCGCCATTCTTACTAAATCTTCAACTCTAGTATTAAACCAAAAAAGATATTATCAAATTACTCGATTAACTACATTTTAACCGCAAATTAGCGATTAATGAGAATCATCTATCTATTCCGCTCTACTCAGACCAATTTTATTCCCAAACAAATGAATGTTAGTTTTTAAAAAAAAAAACAAAATTTCCATCAGCAGATCCATTTGATAGCAAATGAATAAATTTCATATTTCCAAAATGAAATTGAGATATTCTGAGCAAGAAATTACCTTGAAAATCTACTGGGTTTATGTTAGGATTCTTGTTGAGGCTTCACTCTGCTTTGTGGGGGGGAAATGAGAAGAAAGATAGCGTAGAGATAGGCACATTGGCAAATTTTCAAAATGGATTTGGGCGGTACTTTATAACCAAAATGAAATTTTTCATAACTGAAAATTTAAAAATTTTGGAAAATGAGAAAAAAGTTTAATGGTGAGCACGTGACGTGAGTTCAATCAGATTTCAAATTTTAATGGTGTGCACGTGGGTTTAATCATATTTCAAATTTCGAATTTCGTTCAAAAAGTAAAAATTGCATGAGGCGCTCTATTTGATCGCCCCCATTTAATTTATACCCACTTTTTTAAAAAGTTTTAACTTGTACCCACTTTTTAAACGACTTCAGGCCTCTTTCTCCTCCTCCTTCTCCTCCTCGTTTTCTTCTTCTCAAGATTTTCCACTCAATTGCCGCTCACCTCCAAGCTTTCAATAGAAGAGGCATTTTGTGAATAGAGCAAGAAATAGGCAGATTCTTTCATTGTTTTCTGCTCTAGCTGCATGTTAATCTGTTGATGCATCGTTTTTGCACTTCGTCTCCTTTGTTTCTAGTTAGGTGGATGCATTTTTTGCCTAGGCAATGAATTAGCACAAGATACTCGTAAATTTATATCACAGTACACATATTTTTGTTTTAATTACAAAATAATCAGGCTGACGTTCAGCAAATACAAACAAAAACTTCAGCTCCTAGAATGCTGAAGTTCAGCAAATACAAAACAAATTTCAGCTCCTAGAATGCTGAAGTTCGGCAAATACTAAACAAATTTCAGCTCCTATAATGCTGAAGTTCAGCAAATATTAAACAAACTTTCAGCTCCTAGAATGCTGAAGTTCAGCAATTACAAAACAAAAGCTTCATCCAAAACATGTTGTAGTTTTATTGAATTAAAGTTTGCCATTGCACTATGAACTGAAGTTTGCGTGATTGCCTTTGCTACTTTAGGCCCGTCTGTCTGAAGTTACCATAAAAGTGGGTATGCTTGCAAATTTTTTTACAAAATGGGTATAAGTTAAAAGGTGACCCAAAAACTGCAGACCCGCACTGCGGAAAACCATCGCAGGTGCGAAAACAACTTAAATGGGCTGGGACCGCAACTACGAGCATTGGGCTGCACCTGCGAGCCCGCTCCTACGGTCCCCTACCACTCATGCGCATCCGCTTCTGTGGAACTATTGCCGCACATGCAATCCCAGCTAAACAAGGTCAAATCTGCTTCTGTGGCTCCATGGCCGCTTCTGCGGCACCGCGCTGCGGCCCCAAGTGCGCAGGTGCGAAAACACTAGGTGCAGCAGCTTCAACAAATTGCATAAGTCTCATATCAATCCGTTAAGCACCCGAAACTTACCCGAGGCCCCCGGGACCTCAACCAAACATACCAACCAATCCTAAAACATCATACGAACTTAGTCGAGCCCTCAAATCACATCAACCAACGCTAAAAACACAAATCACCCTCCAATCCAAACTTAATGAACTTGAAACTTCCAAATTCGACAACCGATGCTGAAATCAACTAAACCACGTCCGATCGACCCCAAATTTTGCACACAAGACATATTTAACACTACGGACCTACCCCAACTTCCGGAATCGGATTCTGACCCCGATATAAAAAATTCCACTACCAGCCCAAAACTCGAAAAATTCAACTTTTGCCATTTCAAGCCTAAATAAGCTACGGACCTCAAAAACACAATCTGGACACGACTCTAAGCCCAAAATCACTCAACGGAGCTAACGGAATCAATGGAATTCCATTCTAGAGTCGTCTTTACATAGTTCTAACTACGGTCCAAATTCTAAGACTTAAGCTTCCATTTAGGGACTAAGTGTCCCAAAACACTCCCAGACTCAAAATGAATCTTCCCGGCAAGTCACAATAGCAGAAAAAGATATTGGGAAAGCAGTTAATAGGGGATCGGGGCTCTAACTCTCAAAATGACCGGTCGGGTCATTACATCCTCTCCCTCTTAAAACAATCGTTCGTCATCGAACGAGCATAGAGACATACCTGAAGTGGTGAAAAGATGAGGATAACGGCTGCGCATATCCTGCTTGGTCTCCCAAGTCGCCTCCTCGACCGGCTGACCCCGCCACTGAACCTTTACTGATGCAATGTTCTTTGACCTCAGCTTTCGAACTTGCCTGTAAATAGCCACTGGCTCCTCAATATAAGATAGATTCTTGTCCAACTAGACTGAGCTGAAATCCAACACGTTAGACGGATCACCATGATATCTCCGGAGCATCGAAACATGAAATATCGGATGAACTCCTGCTAGGCTGGGAGGTAAGGTAAGCTCATAAGCAACCTCCCAACACGCCGCAACACCTCAAAGAGGCCAATAAACCTCGGGCTCAGCTTACCCCTCTTTCCAAACCTGATAACACCCTTCATAGGCGAAACCCGAAGTAAGACCTGTTCTCCAACCATAAATGAAACATCGCGAACCTTCCGGTTTGCATAATTCTTTTGTTTGGACTGGGCTGTGCGAAGTCTATCCTGAATCACCTTAACCTTCTCCAAGGCATCCTGAACCAAGTCTGTGCCTAATAATCTAGCCTCGCCCGACTCGAACCAACCCATTGGGGACCGACACCGCCTACCATACAGAGCCTCATACGATGCCATCTGAATGTTGGACTGATAACTGTTGTTGTAGGCAAACTCCTCAAGTGGCAGGAACTGATCCCAAGAACCTCCAAACTTCATCACACACCCACAGAGCATATCCTCAAGAATCTGAATAATGCGCTCGGACTGCCCGTCTGTCTGAGGGTAAAATGTTGTGCTCAACTCCACCCGAGTACCCAACTCATGCTGTACGTATCTCCAGAATCGTGATGTAAACTACATATCCAGGTCAGAGATGATAGATGCCGGCATGCCATAAAGTCTGACAATCTCACAGATATAAACTTGAGCCAGCTGCTCAGAAGAATAGGTAGTCATCACAGGAAGGAAGTGAGCTGACTTTGTCAGCCTATTCACAATCACCCAAACCGTATCAAACTTCCGTTGAGTCCGTGGGAGTCCAACAACGAAATCCATAGTGATTCGCTCCCATTTCCACTCTGAAATCTCTAACTTCTGAAGCAACCCACCCGGTCGATGATACTCATACTTCACCTGCTAACAATTTAGGCACCGAGCAACATACTCCACTATATCTTTCTTCATCCTCCTCCACCAATAATGCTGCCTCAAGTCTTGATACATCTTCGCGGCAGTCGGATAGATAGAGTAGCGCGAGCTATGAGCCTCCTGAAGAATCAAGTCACGTAAATCGTCCACATTAGGCACACATAGCCTGCCCTGTATCCTCAAAGCACCATCATCCCTAATAGTGACCTCCTTAGCATCACCGTGCTGGACCGTGTCCTTAAGGACAAGCAGATGGGGGTCATCATACTGACGCTCCCTGATACGATCATAAAGAGAAGACCGGGAGACCATACAAGCCAATACTCGACTAGGTTCAAAAATATCCAATCTCACGAACTGGTTGGCTAAGTCCTGAACATTCAACGCCATGGGCCTCTCTGCTGCTGGTAGATAAGCCAAACTCCCCAAACTCTCTGCCCAGCGACTCAAAGCATCAACCACCACATTGGCCTTCCCCGGGTGGTACAAAATAGTGATATCATAATCCTTAAGCAGATTTAACCACCTCCTTTGACGCAAATGAAGATCCTTCTACTTGAATATATGCTGCAAACTTCGGTGATCAGTATAGATCACAAGGGACACCGTACAAATAGTGCCTCCAGATCTTCAAGGCATGAACAATAACTGCTAGCTCAAGGTCGTGGATAGGATAGTTCTTTTCATGCACCTTCAGCTGTCTGGACGCGTAGGCAATCACCCTACGGTCCTGCATCAACACTGTACTAAGGCCAACTCGTGACGCATCATAATAAACTGTATAAGACCCCGAACCTGAAGGCAATACCAATACTGGGTTGTAGTCAAAGCTGTCTTGAGCTTCTAAAAGCTCTCCTTACACTCTTCCGTCCACCTGAACGGAGAACCCTTCTAGGTCAGCCTGGTCATAGGTGCTGCAATAGACGAGAATCCCTCAACAAATCGACGGTAATAACCGCCAAATCAAGAAAGCTCCGGATCTCTGTAGCTGAGGATGGCTTGGGCCAACTCTACACTACTTCCACCTTCTTCGGATCCACCTTGATCCTTTCACTCGATACTACGTGACCCAAAAACACCACTGAATCCAACTAGAACTCACATTTTGAGAACTTTGCGTATAATTTCTTCTCTCTCAAGGTCTGAAGCACAGTCCTCAGGTGCTACTCATGATCTTCCCGACTCCAGGAGTACACCAGAATGTCATCAATAATGACAATGACCAACGAGTCAAGATAAGGCCAAAATACACTATGCATCAAATGTATATATGCTGCTGGGGCGTTGGTCCGCCCAAATGACATCACAAGGAACTCTTAATGACCATACCGAGTCCTGAAAGCAGTTTTCGAGACATCTGGCTCCCGAATCCTCAACCGATTATAACCTGAATGCAAATCAATCTTGGAAAACACTCGGGCACCCTGTAACTGATCAAATAGGTCATCAATACGAGGCAAAGGATACCGGTTCTTCATTGTAACTTTGTTCAACTGGCGATAATCAACGCACATACGCATAGAACCATCATTTTTCTTCACAAACAAGATAGGAGCACCCCTAAGGTGACACACTGGGCCGAATGAAACCCTTATCAAGAAATTCTTGTAACTGTTCCTTCAACTTCTTCAACTCAGGAGAGTCCATACGATAAGGAGGAATAGAGATGGGCTGAGTTCCCGGCAACAAATCAATGCCAAAATCAATATCTCTATCGGGCGGCATGCCCGGAAGATCAGCTGGAATCACATTAGGGAAATCCCTCACTACTGGGACTGAATCAACTATAGGGGTATCAATACTGACATCTTTCACATAAGCTAGATACGCGTCACACCCCTTCTCAACCATTCACTGAGCTTTAAGAAATGAAATAACTCTACTAGGAGTGTAATCTAAGGTACCCCTCCACTCTAAT